TGCAGTAATGTTGGAAAATAAACAGAGTGGCATGGCCTGGGCAGCCTTAGGAGTCCCTGAGTTTCCCATAAGGGGAAGTGCTTCTCTAATTGGGTCCCTGCGGGAACCCTGTAGAGACTCAAGCTCAAAGCTTGGAGGTGGACCAGATTAGTAGTGAGATTCCTCCCAACCCTGAGATTCTCCAAATAGAGCAGACATCAGACTTCACAGGACTGAAGAAGTCACGGGGTCATAATGACAGGATGTTGCAAGATATCCTTGGGGTGACCTGACCAAGCAAAAATGCTCCCCTTTGAGGTGTGATATTCTTACCCCTAATCCTCATGCCTAAAATTGTCCCTAATAGAAACTCTTCCTTGTTTTTTGTTTTGTTGTTATAGGATGGGTACACTCGCTCGCTGGAGAGAGAACCAGAGAATAGAAAGTGAGAAAGGGCCCCCTGCTCCCATCCAGAGAGATGGCCATGCCACAGTCCCTTCTCCTTCACTTCTCCCTTTGGGATTTTGGCCTGCACACACACGGGCCCAAGGTGTTTCTCACACCAGAGTCTAGGACTCGCCCATGTGGTCAGCCATGTGGGGTCCAGCCACCATAACCTCCATGCTACCCGCTGGCCTGAAACTTAGTTTTTCTTTCACTTCTGCTTACAGGGTCCTCACTCTCCACCAGACACTGCTAAACATTTCTGCTTGCTCTCACAACTCCCACTCAACCTGTGAGATAGGTAGTATTAATCAAATTGTTCAGGTGGAACTTTGTAGCTAATGTTCAGTGGCTTTTTTAAGCCATACGATTAACTGTTGGATTATGGAACTTCTTGGATGTGACCGTTTCTGAAAGTGAGTACAAATCCTGATCGATGGTTCAGATGTCATCACTGGAGTGAGGCAAAGCAGAAGCTCATTATTAAATTCTTACCACTTTGTCTGGTAAGAGGAGCACGGTACTGCAGTCTTTGGGCAGTGACAATAGCTGGTAGAGCTCTAGCCCTGGAATGAGATTGTCCTAGGCTCCAGTATTCTTTTTTTTTTTTTTTAAACGTATTAGCTGTGTAGTCTTCAGCTTGGCTGGGTCAGCGGTAAAAATGGGAATGATAAGCCCTGCCTTGGCTTGGATAGAGATTAAAGGTTAATATTTCATGTAAAATACAGAGTGTGGTACCTTAGCTGTGGATACAGCTGGCATTATCAGCACTGTGGTAGTCCTTGTGGCTATTGTCTTATTAGCTCTGTGACATTTGCAAGGAGATTACTCAGCCTCCACCATCGTGAATGGAGAAGTGACTTTTGAGGACTGAATGGAATCATGTGGAAATGCTTTGTAAATAGTTTTTGTTAATAAGAAAACCCATTTCTCAGATGACAGAATCAGGGGAGTGTTCAGTCTTTGACTCCTCTGTGTGAATTTTAGTGTCGTCAAAGGCCTTTCTTCTGAAATCTCTCTGCACGCCAGCACACCAGAAAGCAGAACTTAAAAGAAGGGGGTACTTTGGGAGATGATGAAGGGGTGGTGGACAGAGCTGAGCAGAATGCAGCAGGTGGGTCTAGCCCTGGAAGTCAGCGAAGGTAGAGAGAGGACTCTTCTAGGAGAGACTGAGACACCGAGGGCAGGAGCAGGACACCAGGGCTCGGAAAAGCTGGGGCTGAAAACATTCCCTGGGTGAAGGCCTCCAGAAGAAAGAAAGGAAAACAGGCCAGCTGTTGCTACTCTGGCTTCTGTGGGTGCCCCCACTACCCACCCAATCTTTCCTTTCCCCTTCCAAGCTCCCAACCTAATTCCAAAGATCTGTCCTTTGTCTCCTGATCTACTGAGGCGGCCCCTTCCTGGCCTCCCTCGTCCACTCCAGCCCCTTCAGTCACTCTCCCACATCCACCCTCTCTGCATTAGGCCTGGCTTAAAATGCAGGTTTCATCACTGCTAGGATGAGAGGAAACTCAGCAAAGCCTGGACAGTCCCACGTGGCCTTGCTCTGGCCTTTCTCACTAACCCTGCCTTGTCTACACTGCACCTTTCTCCATGATCCCATCACATTCACCTCCTTCTGTTCCCTCTAAGGGCTTGCTCCCGCTGACTTTGCCTGTGCTGTTTCCTCTGCCTGGAAAGCGCTCTCTTCACCCACACCAGCCCCTCTGCCGTGCCATTCATCTTCATCACCCAGGCTGGCCTTCCCACCTCCCAGAACTTCAGAAGCACTCCCCCACCCCCAGTCCGGCTCTGGAAATCTTGTATGCTTCCAGTGCCCTTGGCCCTGTTCCTTGAGAGCCTTGTCTCTGCCATTACACAACCATCCATGTGATCACTGCACTGAAGCTCATCTCCCCCACAGCAAACTCTGTAAGAGCTATGGCATGTCGCCCCTAGTGAT